TTCACGACTTGGGAAGGGAGTGGGTGGAGACCAGGAAGGCTGCCAAGCAGCCTGCAATGCACAGGACAGTCCTCCACCACAGAAAGATCGGGCCCTAAAACGTCAGCAGTGCCCAGGTTGAGAGAGCCTGTCTTAACCCCAAGATGGAAATGCAAGCACCTATGACAGGGGCTGGAATAAGGATTTCATGAAATAAATGGGTAGGTGACAGCACCGGGGTGTGCCTGGCACCAGAGGGACTCAGGGTATTTGAAGGCCGTCCTTGCCAAGCCTGGGGCTCCCCACCTGTGAAACGGGCCCCTCCAGCCCCAGCTCCAGCAATATCTAACTCAGCACTCTGGTTTGCACAGTCCCAATTTCCATGAAACCTACACAATTTGCAACTGGTGGAACTTCTTATGGTTATGAAGGATCGCTAAAACCTTCACATCATTCGGGCTTTCACATGAAGCTATAAAACCACCTACTGATTTGGAAGCTTAAACCATGAGAATTAGATATTTCTAGAAGTAATCTTTAAGGTGTGTTATTCTTTGCCTTAATGCTGAATCCTAGAAGGGGCCTGGTTGCCTCTAAGAGGTTTGAATTTCCAATCTATTAGAGTAATACCAGCAATCTGTTATTTCTAGGCTATTGAGGAAAGGTTAAGATGAAAATTGGATTTGGGGAGTTATATCCATTCTGAGTGCGGGCTGAAAACCCCTCAGCAGCAAGATGCAAGTCAGGTCTCAGGAAGAAGCAGTTATCAAGGGAAATGACTGGTGATAACTTTATTGATTAAAGCAGCTTGAAAAATTTAAGGTTCACCACAGCCTGGCACTTTGGCAGCAAGATAGCTCCTCACGGGCATTTTTCATTAAAAATAAAGAGGCAGGAACAGAGAATTATTACCCTGTGCATAGGACGCAGTTCATCTGAAATGGCCTTACTTTGAAATACTGCTTTAACGTGTCTACACATCCTGAGACTCAAGTAACATTAATGAACATTTTAAGAAAATGGCATGCAATTTCCACTCACCTGTCAAAGGGAGAGACAGAAATGTCAGCTGAGGGTAGAGGAGAGAATGACAGTGTGGGAGGTAAATAAGACACAATGTTGCCACACGTGCTCAGAGACACCAGACAAAGCAAGTCTTAGGGCACAGCGTTCAGGGTGGCCGAGCCTCTAGCAGACATGGTAACCCGCCAGGAGTCTACACACCTCACTCTCTCCCAGACCCCATTGCTGGCATCTGAAAACGAGAAACCCAGATTAACCAGCGCCCCGTGAGGGCCTTGGCTCTACTCTGGGGTGTGGGCAGGGGCGCTTCTCATTCAGATTGTGACAGATGCTGACTGTGCAAATAACCGAAAAACGCCAAAAAGAAGAAACAGGGGAGGGGAATCACCCAGTGTCCAACTATCCAAATATAACCAACAATGCCGTCTGGACATTCAGTTCCTTCCGGGCCTATTTTCTAGGCAGTGGCAGGTTTTTTGGTTTGGGTTTAGGGTGGGGGAGGGAGTTGTTTGAGATGGTTCTGAGCACACTGCTTATGTAATTTTAAATACTGATTTTTAAAAACTCAGATTATGGTATTAGCCTTTCTCCCTCTCTATAAGAAGTTATCCTAAGAATTTCTTCTCTCTTAAATTCATCCTAGGAGTGGGATAGAAATATATACATAGCTTCTCATATTTTAAAAATGGAAAGATAAGCCATAATATCTATAAAAATGGCCAAGTACACGAGACAGGTAGAGACAGAATAGCAAGAAGAGGACACAAGTTAGAGTCCTTAAACATGTCTTGCTTTGTGGATTTATCAGAGAAATGTGAGTCAAAACTGCAGCAAGATATCGTTTCACCCCAGTTAAAATGACATTTATCAAAAACACAGGCAATAACAAATGCTGGCAAGGATGTGGAGAAAGGGGAACCCTCACACACTGTTGGTGAGAATGTAAATTGGTACAACCGCTATAGGGAACAGTATGGAAGTTCCTCAGAAAGCTTAAAATAGAACTACCACATGACCCAGCAATCCCACTGCTGGGTATATATGCAAAGGAGGGGAATTCAGTATATCAAAAAAATATCTGCACTCCCATGTTTATTGCAGCACTATTCACAATAGCCAAGATTTGGAATCAACCTAACTGTCCTCAACAGATGAATGGATAAAGAAATTGTGGTACATATACACAATGGAATATTATACAGCTATTAAAAGAATGAAATCTTGCCATTTGCAACAACTCGGATGGAACTGGAGAACATTATGTTAAGTGAATACGCCAAGCACAGAAAGGCAAATCTCGCATGTTCTCACTCACATGTGGGAGCTAAACATTAAAAACAATTGATCTCATTGGAGACAGAGAGTAGAGTGACGGTTACCAGAGGCTGGGAAGAATAGCGGGGAGGTGAGGATAAAGTGGGGATGGATGCAAAAATATAGTTAGATAGAATGAACAATATTTGTTAGCACAACAAAGTGACTATAATCAATAAGTTAGGGTATACTTTAAAATAACTAAAAGAGTGGAATTAGAATGTTCCTAACACAAAGAAACGATAAATGCCTGAGGTGATGGGTACCCCGATTACCCTGATTTGATTAACTCACATCGTATGCCTGCATCAAAACATCACAGGTACCCTATAAAGATATACAACTATTATGTCCCCATAATGATTAAATATAAAAAGAATTATCAATGCTAAAATTAGAAGAATGATCAGAAAGACGATATTTACATAGTGTTAAAGTACTTTCCCACAAGATACTAATCAAAAGAGACAAAGAATAACTTTACAGTGGAGAATCCTGGTAGACGCCTCCTCAACTGGTGATCAGAGTCAACATCCCAATAACGGGACAAAACAGTACCACATGCCTCTAACAGGGGGCGCCGAGAGGGGCACAGCATTGTTTCTGTGAGATTCCTGCCAAAAATGCATCACCTAAATTACAGCATGAGTACTCCTCAAAAATGCCATGGTCATGAAAGACAAAGACAGACTGAGAAGTGTCTCAGAGTAAAGAACACAAGGAACGTGACTGCTAGATGCAACGTGTCCCCAAAAAGCCATGAGTGGCATGAGTGATGATGTCTGAATAGGGCCTTTAGATTAGTTAACAGTCTAGTCCCAGGGTGGATTTTCTGATTTCATAATTGTTCTATGGTTATGATGTACGTGCCAACATTTGGGGAAGCTGGGCGAAGGGTACAGAGGAAGGGAATTCTTTGAACTATTTTTGCAACTTTTTTGAGGGTGAAATTACTTCACAATTAAAAGTGGTTATTAGTTGGTAAGTATTGAAGCTTAATGATGGGTACCTTGGGGTTCCTTGTGCTGCTCTTTCTACTTACATAGATATTTGAACTGTTCCATGATGAATGATTAAAAGACAGGTTTAGGAAACAACCACATACAAGGTATGGACCTCATATGGATTAGATCCCAACAAATCAACGGTAAAAGAACATTTCTGAGATAGCCAGGGAAACTTAAATATGAATTGGAAATTTAAATATGAATATGATAATACTAAAAAATTACTGCTGATTTTTAAAAAATTTATTGTGTTAAAATACACATTACATAAAATTTATCACTGTAACCATTTCAATGTGTTCAATTCATTGGCATTAAGCACATTCACAATGGTGTGCAGCCGTCACCACTATCTAGTTCCAGAATATTTTTACCACCCAAAAAGGAGACCTCATACCCATGAAGCAGGACCCCTCATTCCCCTGTGTCCCCAGTCCTGGCAACCACTAATCTGCTTTCTGTCTCTATGGACTTGCCCATTCTAGTTCATCCATGTTGTAGCACTTGTCAGAGCTTCACTCTACTTTTGGGGAGGTGGGGAACAAAGTCTTGCTCTTTTGCCTAGGCTACAGTGCAGTGGCATCACATACTCATTGCAACCTCAAACTCCTGGGCTCAAACAATCCTCCTGCCTCTCCCTCCCAAGTATAATAGCTGGGACCACAGGTGTGAGCCACTACGCCCTGCTATCCTTTCTTACTGTAGTATGCCTTTCAAAAAATGCGGTCATTTTAGAACATAAACCTCTAATGGGCCGGGCGCGGTGGCTCACGCCTGTAATCCTAGCTCTCTGGGAGGCCGAGGCGGGAGGATTGTTTGAGCTCAGGAGTTAGAAACCAGCCTGAGCAAGAGCGAGACCCCGTCTCTACTAAAAATAGAAAGAAATTAATTGGACAACTAAAAATATATAGAAAAAACTAGCCGGGCATGGTGGTGCATGCCTGTAGTCCCAGCTACTCGGGAGGCTGAGGCAGAAGGATCGCTTGAGCCCAGGAGTTTGAGGTTGCTGTAAGCTAAGATGACGCCACGGCACTCTAGCCCAGGCAACACAGTGAGACTCTTGTTTAAAAAAAAAAAAAAAAACCCTAATGATGGCCAAAAAGCACATAAAAAGATGCTCAGCATCATCATCTGCTAGGAAATGCAAATCAAAACCACAATGGGATACTACTTCATACCCGCCAAGATGTTCATGTAATAATAATAAAAAAAAACACCTAGAAAATAACAAGTATTTGCAAGGATGTGGAGAAATTGGAAAATTTCAGGGGTGGGCGGCAGCTGTGGACAAAATCATAACTGTTTTTTTTTTCTTTTTATGATTTAAAAGTTGGGAAGGCAATCTGTCCCCAAAATACTCACAGTATAAAGGTGGCATATTATTGTAATCTTGCTGTTATGTTGTTTATCCAAAAAATTATTTTTTAATACACTGATAGGACCTATCAATTCTTATCCTTCCAGAGAAGCAGCAAAAAGTCACTTAGAAAAAGCCACAGGCATTTCTGTTTCTCGCTCTCACACTGACACTAATTTAACAGGCTGAAAGCACTCAGTGGACCTTCTCTGCTCCCGTGGGGGGCCCACGCTCGGCCTCCCGGCCAACCGCACAGGCTGCCTGAAACCTGGAACCCACGGGCTGCCCCCACACGCTCGCCTTGCGAGGCGCCGACCTACCTGGTGGGCTTCCACGCCGATGGCTTGCAGGGCAGCCTTGAAGAACTCAGGAGAAGGTTTCCCCACCACCTCGGCTTCAATGCCACAGGCATACTAGGAAGAGAGAGAAGGACACGGTGCGGGTTTGGGATCAAGGAACAGGTGTGTGCCCAACCCAGAGAAGACTGTCCCAAATGTGCCTCAAGGGTCAGAGCCCTTGAAGAGGCTGGGTGCCGTGTTTTGAGAAATGCCCTCCTTAGGCAAGGGCATCCACAATGGGCTGCCTGGGACGCATGGCATACCCAATGCTGGGCCCCCGCCACTCACTCCAAGGCCAAGAGCTGGCAGAGCCAAGGCCTGCCAAGGGCCAGGAGGCCAGTGCTCGTCTGCTTGCTCAGATGCACTTCTATTCTCTTGCCCCTCCTGCCCCACCCCCACACCCAGCTCTGTCACAGGCCCTCCCGGGACAGAGAGGTCCAGGGCTCCCTCCCTCCCTACCCCAAGTGCAGGCAGGCAGGAGCCACCGCAGTTGTGAGGAGGGGACGTGACACGAGGCTGAACTGCGGCATGAGACCCTGGCTGGGGCAGCTGATGGGCTGTGGGTCAGAGTGGACCATGGGGAGCCCCGTCTGACAGCCTGATCATGGATGGCCTTGGACACTGACGGGGACACCAGGAAGGAGTCCAGTTAGGACACATCGAGCTTGAGGTGCTACAGATGGCCAGGGGCAGGGGAGAGGCCAGGGTGGTCCGCGCAGGTACAGAAGCTGTGAGTCCGAGAGGAGAGCAGCAGAGAGCACACGGGGAGAGCCGGCAGGGTCAGCATGGGTGGTGAGAGCTGTGCCACCAGACAAGAGGGAGGGAGGGCAGGGTGACAACGAGGCAGGTGAGGGGCCCAGCGCCGGGGAGCCCCAAGTAGGAGGGCCAACTTAGAAACACAGAAGCCCTTCATACACTAAGCACCCCTCTTCTCCAGAAAGACCAGAAACATCTCAGGTGCCCTGAGATCCGAAGAGGGCTCAGAACAGAACCAGGACAAGTACCTCGAGCGCCTTCACGTAGGCACCGACGTCCAGCATCAGGCCAGAGGTCTCCTTGTAATAGCGTCTAGAAGAGAGCAGAAGGGACACGGGAGCTGAGCCAGGGCCGAGGGTCAGTCCAGATGCCTGCTGGGAGTGACCGACGGAGGCCGGGGCAACAGGGACATGGGAGCACAGTGGGCCGGCAGCTGCAGGGACGCCATCATTTGTTCAGTCAGAACAGGCCCCGGCTGGCAGCCTCGTGGGAACCCCCCTGCAATGACCAACGGGGGTCCCTGGGGCAGATGGCAGCAGTTGCCAACACAGAGAAAGACAAGTGACCTGTGTTCTGGAAAGGAACAGCAGGTCCGCAGAGCATGTGGCGAACCCCTAATTGCTAATAATTAACCCCGATTGCTGCCTGCAGAAGAGAACTCCATTAGTTCCACAGCACCCCGCCCCATCCCCTATTAGCCGGGGGTCAAGCGAGGTGCCGGCTTCACAGGCGCCAGATGCTTTTATGAGAAGACAGCGATTTCTTCCTGTCTCAGCTCGCACGAGCATTCCTTTCTCAAGACGGTCCCTTGTGAGTGTGTAGGCTGGCTCCACCGCTAGGCTGCACCCTAGCCGCCACTGCCTGGGCCACCCCATGTCCACGTTGCATGAGCCTCAAGGCCCTCAACACACGGGGCAGCAAGCCCGGTTCTCTCTGAGCAAAGCCACCTGACCACAGGAGGGGAGAAGGTGGTTTAACCTGAGCCTCTCTAAAGACAGGATTTGCTGAAACCCAAGAATAAAAAGAGGGGGAGCTGGTGCTCAGAATTATTAAAATATCTTGTCATCCATCACATCTCTTTCCCTTCTCCTCCTGCTGTGCCCGTTGGATCTGGGGGACACTGAGAAAGCACGTGTGCAGAGAACCTGAGGGAAGGGCAGAGAAGCATGCTGACTTCAGCATCCAAATCCTCTCTCTGCCTTCTGATGACTTTAGGTTGCTTGATCGCCGTGGGCCTCAGTTTCCTAATCTGTAAAATGGGCAAAACAAACAACAAACTACACCTAACTCATGGATTGTTGTGAAGCTTGAACAAAACAATGTATGCAAAGCTCTCAACATGATGCCTAGCATGCAGAAACTGCTCAAAAAAGATTAATAACTATTCACTCAGGCAGAGATACAGGCAAGAAAGTAAGAGCTAGGGGAAGAAAAACAAGCACAGGTCTTTCCAACTTGAGCCGTTGAGCTGCGTTGTGTGCCCATCTGAAGTGTTAGGACTCAGTTCCCTGGGAGCCGCCCTGGGGCTGTGCCCTCCCTCTAGCTCTGCCACTCCTGGGGACCCTGCTGTCCCTTTCTGCCCCACCTACAGCCTTCAAGCTATAGGAGGCTGTGCTGTCCGCCCAGCTGCTCAGGAGGGATCAGCCACTTGCCCCACTGCATTCCCTGCTGTCCCCCTCAGTAGCTTCCTGGCTGGGCTGCAGGGCTTCTGCCAAATCCTGGCCTTGCCAAGGCCTGGGTCCCTGCCACCTTCCCCATCGGGGGCTTTGGAGCCTGGAGTCCGTTTGTCGAAGGAGTGGGCATCCCCCGTGGGTCTCTCAGTGAACTCCAGGCCTGCCCCCAGCCTCTGAGCTCTGTGCTCTGGGCCACGCCACAAGGACACAGGCTGGCTGGGACACTGCACGTACTCACAGAGTGAGTGACCCCAAAACACAGGCTTAGACATCCCTAATTTCATGTCTTAAATCCAGAATCCAGACCTATATCTTGCATTTATATAGACTCAAAAAAGTGTTTCCTTTTATTTTTCCCATTTCAACAACAAGCTACTCTGGGATGGTGATTTCCTTATGGGCCCAGAGTTTTAAGGAGACCGTGAATGGAATATGTCACAGTATGGCCAAGAAGGCGAGGGAGATGCCAGGTCCTGAGGCCTGCGCTGGGCCATGTGAACTCAGTCCCCCAGGGCACAGCTGTTCCACAGGCCCTTTGCAGGACTCGGGGACACTCCCAGACCCAGGCTGTTCCCCAGACACTCACAGTCTAGTGGGGAAGCTGACAAGCCCACAAACACACATGGGCGATGACAGTGGAAGCCCGTGCTCTGCAGCACTCTGCTAACGTAGGGCGAGGCACGTGCTGGGGACAGGGGACAGAAGAGGTGTCTCAGGAAATATAAAGCTGAGACCTGAAGGGTGAGGAGGTCGCCCAGCTACGAGGAAGGGGAATGGGAGCGTCCAGGCCCGGGGAGCCCCTTGGAATCACCTGGAGCTTCCTGCTCAGTACACGGTGGGCCACGCCGCCCCAGGCAGGCCCTTCCACGGGCCCTCAGAGCCACGACCTGCATCTCCTCGAGCCCACCTGAGTGAGGGGAAGAAGGAAGGCACGAGGGGCCGGGGAGGGCCTCCCTAAGGACATGCTGTGTAGAGAAGCCCTGGACGGAGGACAGGTGACGGAAGTATATACCCAGCACAGGAAATGCTTACCCAGAAACAGGAGAACTAAAAAAACCAAACCACCCTGTTGCAACAGGTACAGCTCTGTTTGGAGCTAAGGATTCTGGGAGCTGCTGGGCCCAGACTCCTGTCCCTGCGCTGCCAGGGGGCCGCCTGGAGACGGAGGCTGGGTGGGCCCAGACACCCGCCTCTCGTTGCTGGGAATCCTCCCGAGGAGACCCATGGCCCCGCTTCTGCCGGCCTCACATTCCCTGGAGTCTCTTCTAAAGTGAAAGAGGCCTGGACTTTCTTACGTTTAAGTTTAGTCCTGAATGGGAGGAAAAAACTGAACATGCAACTTAAAATACACAATCAAAACCTCGCCTTTGCTGTGCTAATCTTCAGAGTCCAAAGACAACACTGACTTCCAGAAATCAAAATTAGAAACTTCAGTATTTCTTTTTTTAACTGAATCTGGGCTTGTTTTTATAGTGCCCAGAATATTTTTCTTTGTTTCTTACTCATTCAGGAAAAGAAAAAGGTGCCCTGAGGCCAACTGGCCGCTGAAAACATTTTTTTAGAGATAAAGGAAATACAGCCACGTACTCGGGCTTCTCTTCAGATGGTAAATACAAGCACAGATTTTTTAAATATAAAGGCCCAGGTTATTTCCACACGCTGGAGGTGTGTGTTTGTCCTGTGTTGCTGGCATGACATAGCCAAGGCAGCCGGGGCAGGACCTGCACGGTCCAGCCACCAAGGGGAAGCTGTGGACGCTGGGAAGAGAGGGGCTCACCAGGAGGAGGAGTCAGACCCGATTTTATGCTTTATTCTTCTGCCATTTCCGATTATTCAGCACAGCCTCCCTTCAAAATGACCACTTGACCTTTCCCAGAAGAGCCATTAACCTTCCAGAGTCTGTCACGTAAACAGCTTAATTTTCTGAGGGCAGCATGACAGAAGAAATTACAAAGCCAATTCCCACTCTCGAGTCCAAACAGATGCCAAATGTAAATCACTCCGTTTCCAGGAGGGGGACACTCTGCCCTGGCGCCTCCACCCGCTGCTCCTGCCGCCTCCGCCGGCACCGCTGGGCCTGAGTCCTGTTCCGGTGGAGGACAGGCCTTCAGCAGCGGCGACCCCCAGCCAATGACAGCACGGTGACAGTAGCTCTTCACGGGTTCTTTGGCTGTCCTGAGAAGCTGTGACTCAGCCTGAAAGCTGTCAGTTCCTTCCTCTGGTTTCTAAACACCCAGAACCCTCGTGAGCTAGAGACCCCACTAATCTTTTCTTTTTAAACAAACCCTTGCCTACTACTGAACTTGCTGCAGTATTACAAAGCTGAAAGCAACTGGTTCCATTTTTTTTCTTTTTCAACAGCATACTCACATTGACTATAACCTATCATCTGGAATAGTGACTTTTAATAATTATGAGACAATTTTAAAGAAAATAGTTTTAACATGAATGAGTTACAACTGAGCTTCTTAATTATGCTTGTTCTCTAGTGAAGGGTTGGTAACTGGTTAACTCAAATGCCTGAAGGGCCAAGCCCAGGTGAATGGGTTAACCAGACCAGGTTCTGTGGTTTGCTCCATAGTGGTGACATAAATTGCAGATGGTTGTTAGTTTAAAAAGGGACTGCAATGGTTAATTTTCCATGTCAACTTGGCTCGGCCACAGTGCCCAGATATGTGGTCAAACATCATTCTGGATGTTTCTGTGAAGGTGTTTTTTGGAGAGATTAACATTCAAATGGGCAGACTATAAGCAAAGCAGATTACCCTCCAGACAGTGGGTGGGCCTCATCCAAGCAGTTGAAGGCTCTAATAGAATAAAGCCTGACCTCCCCGAGCAAGAAGGAATTCCACCAGTAGAAAGCCTTAGGGTTCAACTGCAACCTTCCCTGAATCTCCAGCCTACCAGCCCCACCCTGCAGATTTTAGACTTACCAAGCCTCCATAATCAATCAATCTATATATTCACATCCTGTAGGTTTCTGTTTCTCTGGAAAACCCTGACTAAAACAGGACACATTTTATTTGTATGATAAACACACCAGAAATTTTTAGTTCCTAAAAAAATACATACTCTCTTTTCTTTCTTGAAACATCTTTTCACTTGCCTATTTTTCATAGAAACATAGCATGAAGAAATATTTCTGTACTATGAAAAAAACAACAAATGGCAGCTGACTCTGAAGCTTGGAGGACAATAGGGAGTGGCAGAGTCTGTGGTGAACTGGAACTAATGAGAAAGTGGCTCCAGCCAAGCCGCTGTGTGTGCTAGGAATGTGAGGCCCAATACTGTCAGATGTTCTGATTCTTTAAAAGAATCCAGAAATCTGGATATTTTATGTAAAAATCTCCCAATTTTTAAACACAGGCTCAAAAAAAAGATTTGTGTGGGCCAAACATGTGCTCTAGAATGTCGCTTAGTGGTGACACGCACAGACTCTGGGGCCAGCCAGGCCAGGTGGCACTCCTGGTCCTGTTAGCACTCACTGGCTGGGGAACGGCAGCTTATGTACCTCCCAATGCTTCAACACCCCCACTTGCAAAACAGCAATGACCCTGCGTACACCTCACGGGGCTGTGGTCAGAATTAAGCACGATGGAGTACATAAAGTGTTTAGCAATGGCCAGCGGCTAAAGAGAAAGCCCTTCCCTTGTCTAGTCCATTAGCTGGCCCTGCTGGGCAAGCAGAGGCAGTGAGTGCTCAGTCAGAAACACCTAAGCTGGAAAATCTTGAGCGATGGCGTCAGAATTCCCGCACTGCATGACAAACTGGGATAGGGACTCCAAAGTGTCTTGCAACTTTAAGAGCCTGTGATGTTAAAATTCTAGTGCTGCTTCTGCTGAGGACGGAATCAATCTGCTTAGCTTTCTGGAAAGCAACTTGACAACATGTATCAAGAACCTCAAAAATGCTCATTCTGTAATTGTCCTGGAGGACATCATCTGAAATGCACGGAGATCCTCATCACAGCCTTACTATGGTAGAAAATCAGAAACAACCCAAATGTCCATCAACAGGGATCAGTTTTTAAAAATTACAGGACATCCACACAGTGGATAACTGTGCCGTGGAGATACCACTTATCGCCTGGGAAGTCATTCACAAATGTTGTTTGGTGAATGATAAAAAACGGGTGAAAAGACAAGGTCAAGTTTGATACCAATGCTGTGAATGCATCCATCTGTAATATCTATTTGCACAGGAAACCACTTGGAAGGACATATACCAAAATGTTGACAGCTGTTTTTCTTGTGCAGCATTAAAAGTACTTTTTTCTTCTTTTGCTCATCTGTATTTTCTAATTGTTCCGCAATGAACATGTGATATCTTGGTGGCAAGAAAAGATGTTAAGGGCAATAACCAATGCTGCTTCTTTAAAGTAACGGATGGTGAGGCATGTGCTAGAGGCCCAGACAAAATCACTGGTCACAAAAGCGACTTTGCAGAGAGAGTGCTCTGCAGCCACAGATGTGCAGTGCACAGACCAGAGCACCCCATAGGCCCTCAGCCTGTTTTTCACTACTCAGGTGCCCCTCGGGACCATTATTCCACACCCTGTGCTATACCCTGTGCAAACGCACCTTCTCCTTCTTTGCTCTAAACTTGGGACTATCAACCCTTGGCCTCTGAGACCTCCAAGGGGGTCTCCATCTGCAGTGACATCCCGATCCCCACCCCAGCTCTAGCCTAGGGTCCACATGGAAGCTTGATAAACTGGCTCCTGAGGACAGGGTATTCCGACTTCCTAAAGAAATAATTAAAGGAGAGGAAAGAAGAAATGAAGAGAAAAAGCAAGAAAAAGAGAAGGAGGGAGAAGGTCACCTGTGCTCCCTCCACACTCCGTTTCCTGCTGTTTCTGGTATCCTTCTCTCTTGATTCTGTAAGTCAGACAGCCACAAAGCATCACCCAGAGCACTAAGCAACGACTCTCCCTGCAGCCCACTTACCCTTTCCCCAGGGATATGAGCACAGGATTTTCCAGTTCCATGAGCACCTGGAAGGCTTTATTCATGTTTTGATAAGAAAAGCCTTCTGCTGCATCTGCAATTACAACACAGTTTGGGTTGGACGTGTCGATCTCATCAAATTCTGAGCGGACTCCTGGAAAGAGAATGAGAGAGAGTGTGATCAAGCCCCGGGGTGACACGGCCTGCCCCCCAAGTCCCACCAGAGACCCTTTTGTCTGTCACATCTGCCCTCCCCCTTTCTCAGATGCACGATTTCTTTCCAATCCTCACAACTCCCATGAGACATGGACAAGGAACAGGTGTTATTCCCACTTTACAGATGAGGGGGTTCCGGCTCCCCGCAGTTAGAGAGCTTATTAGGAGAAAGATAGATCACTCCCAGGACCCTCCATCCCAACACCAGCGGCTCCCTTAGTTCAATACTACAGGCGGGAAACCCACAGCTTTGCAACTAAGAAGGGAAATCTGCCTGGAGGACACAGATTCCCAGCAGTACGATGAAATGAGGCTGCTTAGAACCCTTGGAGGGTTGATACTGCTGGTCCCAAACTACAAGAGCCATCAACAAATTTTAGGTAAACACACATATGTCCTCGAAAAAGGAGCAGAATTCATCCCCACCAGCCTAGGTCTTCAGCTCCCTTAGGAAAGTCCTTCCTCCTTCTTTTTTGTCCCCTCACCCTCATTTTAAATCAAAATAGGAAAAGTCGCAAGGATAGAGTCATTGATTGGCTTTATGTGTTCAGTTCTTAGAAGAAACATGCTCTCATCTCCCTTAGTATTAGACGTTGACCTTTCTGGACTAAAAAAATTCAAGTAACCACAATCAGATACGACTTCATGCCCACCAGAATGGTGAGAATTAAAAAGACTGATAACACCAAGGGCCAGTGAGGATACCGAACAGCTGCAACAGATGGAGAGAGTGTCGAATAGTGCAACCCCTCTGGGAAAACGTCTGGCAGTGTTCTGTGAAACTAAATATACACCACCCTGTGACCCAGCAATCCCACTCCTAGGTGTTTACCCAAAAGGCTTGTACAGGAATTGTTCGTAGCAGATTTATTCGCAATAGCCTAAAACTAGGATGAACCCAGATACTCATCAACATGTGGATGAATAAACCATGGTATGTTCACTCCGTGGACTACTACTCTGCAATAAAAATGAAAAAAACTGCTGACACATGCAACAGTATGAATGAGACTCAAAACCATTATGCTGGGTGAAAGAGCCTTACACAAAAGGCTGTTGTGAAAGACAGGGTTAACTCGGCAGGCCTGGGTTGCTCAAAGCCTGCACATTCCAAAGATCCATCTTCAGGACTGGCCCTCGACTGGCTCCCAAGAGATAACCCCTGAGCCCTTGCAATATCCCACCTGATAAGAGGGGCTTTGTAGGCCTGAGGCCTTAGGCCAACTGTATCAATTTGACCATATAGTTTATGCTGACTACGTGATTTATGGAAAACATCTCTTGTTGTATGCCTGCAGCCCTGGGCGATGCTCTATCAGTTTGAACTCTGGGGGGCTGGGGAATGAGTAGCTAAGGTCAGTCACATAGTAGCTTCATGCCTACGTGACTGACCCTTAGTGAAAACCCTGGACACCGAGGCTTCAGGGACTTCCCAGTTGCCAACACTTCCCATGTGTTGTCACACAGCATTGCTGGGATAACTGGGCGCGGCTCAGTCCAAGTCCAGTTTGAGGGGACAACTGGAAGCTCCCGCCTGGTTCCTCCTGGCCTTTGCCCCATGCGTCTCCTCCCTATGCTGAGTTTGGTCTGTCCTCTGTCACTGTAATAAATCGTAACTGTGAGTGCAACGGCAATGCTGAGTCCTATGAGTCCTAGCGAATCAGTGAGCCCGGGGTGGCGCTGGGGAGTCCCAACACAATTATATACTGTATGATTCTATTTATATAGAATTCCAGAATAGGTAAACTGATTTATACCGGAAAAAGTCAAAATAATGGTTGCTTCTTGGGGGTTGTGGTGGGGACTGACTGGAAAGGGCACCAGGGAACTGTCAGGGATGGTGACAGTCTAGATCTTGGTGGGGGCTGGTTCCACAGGTGTATGCGTTTGTCAAAACTCAGCAAAGGTACACTCGAGGTCTGTGCATTCCACTGTATGCAAATTTTACACCAACAGAAGAAACTGTCAGCAAATCTTGAACTCTAGTGAAGAGCATGCTGAAGCATTTAGAGAAAGTATATGAATGTCTGCAATTTACTTTGAAATGCACCCCAAAATAACATGGATAGATGGATGAAGGGATGGATAGATCCAGAGTGAAGACAATTATGAAGTGTCATTGACAATCTAAGTGATGGGTATAAAAGTATTCCAAGTAAAAATTCTGTGAGCTGTGCTGTATGTTTGAAAATTCTCATAATAAAACATTGGGGGGAAAATCCATCAACAATAAATCTTGAAGAAAAATCCCCAAACACAGGTACACTTGCTGAAAGCACAGACGCGGGATCGCAGCTGAGGACGGGCACCGGCCCCTCCAGCCCTCTGGGGCTTCGCCGTCTGCTGGTTCAACTCGCTGGCTGAGCAAATGCTGACTCCCCTCGCCTGCCTGCTGCTTCCAGCCCACTCCCAGGTCTAGCAACCCTTTTCTGGGGGGTCGGGAGGAGAGAATTTCTTTCTTAAATCTTCTTTCTTTGAAGACCATGTTCTAAAGACGTTGGCAGGGATCCTAGATTGCAGAGAAAGGATTTTGAGAAACAAGATTTCTAAAGGCTGGGCATGTCGCCCTTAACTGGCGCCAGGGCTGTGAATTCAGCACTCGGGCCTTCCAGGGAGCACACTCCGCCTCTTAAGAGCCCCCACTCTTGCCTTGGGAAGGAAAAAAGCATGCTTGCCTCTGCCCGGTGGTTTGTAAAAATAAAAATATCAAGTGCAGAGGAGGGAAGAAGGCTCAGTGGACCAACAGAGAAGTCGGTCCTGAATTCTGAAGTGTCGCTAATGCCTCTTCTTTTTAAATATTCAGCAGGCACCAGATAATATTCCTTCTGCTTTGTTCTACACTCCCCCCACCAAAAAAAAAACCAAAAAACTCACCACTGAGGGTCAAAGGGGCTCTTTTCTTGCATTCAGGCTAAAATCAGGATGCAAACCTTGTTCCCACAGGCAAACTGCTCCACAGAGCAGGGCTGGTTTTCACAAATATAGTTGGAGGCTACAGGTGCCAGACTTGTGAAAGCTCTGGACCCTGATCTAGCTTCTCATTCATATTCCTTCTCTCTCTCAACAGGAGCTAGAACTTTCCCCCTTGACAATTCCCTGGCCCCTTAGTTCATCCTAGATCAAGGAAAGCTGCCTTAGGGTTTTCTTCCCTAGAGTCATCTGGAACCTGCTTTAACAACCCTCCTGTGTGAGGCCAGGGGATGGATGGAGTGAGGTTCTAACTCAGCCCCAGCCCCCAGCAGGAAGCCCCACGAGGCTTCTGCTGCACCTCACACACACCTGTGAGTGCTGGTAGCAAGAGGTGTTACCTCTGCGTCCTTGCCAGTGAGTGGCCCGGCTGAGAGTGGAAGCCCCCTCCCCAGGCCCACTCTGGAAAACGGGAACTTCCACCCCATGAAGCCCCAGGCCGGCAGGCCTACCTTCATGGATGAGCAGGTGTGGCCGCAGGCCTCGCTCCTTCAGGATCTGGCAGGTGGCTGGTGCTGGGGAGGTCACCTCGTCCTCAGAGATGTCGAATCCCAGCTGCCGAAGCAGCCCCACCAGGTCTCCCCGGGACTTCTGCGAGTCGTTGGTGCAGAATCTCACCTTCAGGTGGGAGCGCTTCAGTCTGTGGGGGGACGACAAGCCAAGGGAGTTGTCGGCACGTGGAGTGTGGGGCCCTGGGAAGGAAGCTAGAGACAGACGCACTCCACAGGCAACCAGTAGAGCCCTGGGCCACGTCACCCTGACCGACCCCAGGGTGTTCAAGCTGGGGTTTTTGAGCTGAAGCAGACCCTTTTTTTAGGGGATCCCACACCATGACCCCACACGCTCCTTCCCATCCTCACTGGACTTGACACACTTGAGACTCCCCAGGTTCCCCACCTGACCTTCTCTGTCTGTGCCTGTCCCTCTACCTGGGACACGTTGCCTCTGCACCTGTGGCAATTCTACCCACCCCCAAGCCCACTCAGCACCTCCCCTCCGTCACACTGTCCTCCTCAGCCTGGCTGGAGGACACCTCTGCACGTCCACAGCTATTTCTCTGCACCTTTCCCGACACTCGGCATTTCCGCCTTGCGTCTGAGCTGCATCTGTCCGGCCACATTCACTCCGGATCCATATTTTCCCAAAGTGCCCAGCAGAGGGACCAAACCACAGTTTGTCTCCCCACCGCTATTGATGAAGAGAAGGCTTGCCGAAGTCATCAGGGACATGAACTATTCCAGGATGGACGGACGAGACAGCGACCCTGTCCCGACCCAACATTAAGGCAACAGGAACCTGAGATGCTGTGGGTCCCCAGCAGCACCGAGCGTCTCCCCACCTGGCTTCACGGGACACCTTCCCCCCGGAGCCACACGTCGGCAAGTTCTCGGAACGCAAACCACACAGCAGATGCCGGAACAGGCCCCAAATGAGACAGCATTCACCCATCGACACGTGATTCCTGGGCTAGGGCATGGGACTGCAGCCATGAGCGTGGCAAGGCCCCCGTTCCCCAGGACACAGTCGGAGGGTGGGCAGGAGGCAGGCACCGAACAAGGAAGTCCACAAAAGAAGGGAAAGGAGAGGTGCTATGCAGGGTATTAGCAGGGTGAAGAGACAGAGGGCGACCAGGTGGGTTAGGCCAGTTGGGGAAGGCCTCCCTGGGTAAGCAGCTCTGGCACCAAGATGCTCAGGGAGAGAAGGTTCCAGCGGGCATACAAGGAGGTGAAGGAAGAGCAGACCCTGGGAGAGAGCCAGTGAGTGGGCATCTGAGTAGGGGGAGGAGGCCACAGGGCGGGAGCCCATCAGCAGGGGACCAGCAGGGGACCAGCGTGCCAAAGGACTGGCAGGGGCAGGCCAGACCTGGCCCCACTCACTCCCTCACCCAGATCACACAACCCGGCCCCATCGAGGCAGTGGTCACATGTGGCATCTGCACAGAGCTGCAGTGTGGAGTCGCGGAAAAGAAAACAGGCTGCAAGTCCCGGGAGGCACTTCTAAGAAAGCCTAGTAAAATTAACCGACTGCCCTGTCACCCAGCACTGTTCTCAGGCAGATCCCTAAACACGTACACTTCGCTGGTCTCCAAAGACGCAGGAAGACGTGTTGACTCTTCGCCCATCCTTTCAAGTTGTATATTTTGAATAATCTAAGCAACACATTAACAGTTTCAAATGTATAGTTTATAATTTATAAACAATACACATATAAGGGCTAGGTACAGCAGCTCATATCTGTAATCCCAGCACTTTCGGTGGCCAAGGTGGGAGGACTGCTTGAGCCCACAAGTTTGAGACCAGCCTGGGCAACATAGAAAGGTCCCGTGTCTACGAAAATACATTTTTTTTAATTAGCCAGGCATGGTGGCGCGTGCCTGCAGTCCCAACTGCTTGGGAGGCTGAGGCAGGGGGATTGCTTGAACCCAGGAGTTCGAGGCCACAGTGAGCTATGATTGCACTCCAGCCTGGGTGACAGAGTGAGACTCTGTCTCTAAAAAGAAACACACAGAGAGGAGGTACGTGCTTGTCAAAGGAATCCAGAGGTATTAACAACACACAGATTCAACCCAGTTACTCAGAACTAAGGCCTGAAACTTCCATTTGAGCAAGTGAGACGCAACCAACAACTCAGCTCACTCTCAACCTCAATGAGAACATAATTTATCCCACTTTATAGGTGAGGAAACTGAATCCCAGAAATGCCAAGGGCTTTCTGTTCCCCCTCCTGAGACTGAGACTTTGGGAAGGGGCTGATTTCTACTTACGGTGGAGTCAGGAACAGGAAATTGGTGTCCCACAGACGGGGGAAAGAGCACAACCCAATGTGGGGTCTTAGAGAAGGCATCCTGGAAGACCCAGGCCCACCTGGGCACTTGCAGGGTAAGACAAAGAGATGGCAGGAAGAACAGCTCACCACTGCAGCGAGTGGGTGTGCATGGGCCCCGCCCTCTGGGGTAGGAAGAACGGGCAGCTGGAGGAACATGCAAGGTGGGGCTGGAAGGGAGGGCAGGAGGGGAGGACCGTGGAGAGGCAGGGATGAGCCAGGCACTCGCTCCACTACTGGGGTAGTGGGGGGACTCCAAATTTGGCCATCTGTGGTAACAGCAACTAGGAAGGTGGCACGTCTCAGGCCAGTGCCCCCTCCTCCCACTATCCTGGGTGCCTATGCCCCTGCCCTATCTCTGTCACAGTGTTTCTTTATAACACTAGCCAGTATCCCCAATCACCTGATATATGCGTTTGTTTATTGTCTTTCTCCCTGGCCTGTGAGCACCATGAGTTCAGGCATGGGGTCTGTTCGGCTCTCCACGGCATCCCCAGGGCTTCCCACAGGGCTTGGCACACACCAGGCCCTTCATAAACGTTTGCAGAATGACTGACTGATGCAAAAGTCTAAATGACCTCATCAGCTACTTCCCGGAGGGTGTCCCTGAGCCTGCAGACCCCTTACAAGCCCTGACAGAAACAGCCCGGCTTCAGTGGTGAAAACGCGCATTCCCGTGTTGGGATGAGCCTCTGGGCCCTCCCAGCCCGCCCAGTCAACAGGTACAATTTAGCAAGAAACCGCAGATCTGCCGACGACGCAGTGACAGCGAGGCTGACAATGTCTTCTTCAATGGCCCGGGTGATTCATTCCTTTCTTATTATTTGTCTTTCCTAATCAGAGGTTTATGAATTATCAATTACACTTAGTGGTTAATTGCCCTTCATAAAGATAGCGTTTTTATTTTTAAATTAGGCAGTTAATATATTGTAACTAATAGCGTCACCTTGTGCATTACGGGCAGATCTCCATTGATTGGCGCCTGGAACGTGCGATTCGCACCCAAGTTAATGGAGCAGTTGAGTGAAGAAGTGCAGGGGGTCCCAGGGGACTAATTATTGCTAATGAATGATGATGTGACCTTCTCAGAACAGTGAACAATCGGCGTGACAGCGCGATGACAGTGCCTCACATCTGTCATTCCAAACACAACTTCGCACGGGTGAAAAATGAGTAAATCATGAAACTCACTTCGGGACACTGGAGCCATCGGTCTCCTCTGAAACACCCACATAAGCTCATCCGAAGCACATGCTCTTAAAACCAAGTACGGGTTTAGAGATAGGATCTGTCCCTGAGAAACCTAGTGCAGATGCTCGGGCAAGTCCTGTGGGTCCTGTCCTTTGGTGCCTCCAGACCAAGCCCCCTTTTGGTGCCACCACAGACCCCAGGACCTGTCCCAGGCTGTCTCTTCCTTATTCTAAATCACTGAAAATAATAAAAGTATTCACTATTACCATGAAAATTGTAAAATATTAATGCAACACTATACGGAGCCTTGCCTCTGGGTGAGCACGGTGCCTCCCCTCAGTATCCACCATCTGATTCCGCCCTCAGGCCCCAAGGTGTCTGTTGTCCCTCACACACGTCCCCAGGGCCAGATGCCTGGCTCGCAGGTGACCCTCGCTATGTGTGCACAGACAGAGTAAACGGGCCTGGGAGGCAAGAACCAGTATCCCCACTCTAGAGACAAAAAACAGAGGCCCCAGGAGGCCAGGACCTGCCCACGGCCACTCGGCCTGTAAGCAGCAAAGCTCACAGCCCTGCGGTGGCATGGCAGGCCCTCCACCAGCCAGTGAAGGCAGCTGGCACTTCCCTAGACCCTAGGCCCTGGGTAAGGGCCAGCAGCCCCAGGAACACAGGCTCAGCTTGGCTCCCAGACTGCAGCTGAGAGGGGTGCGTGGGCTGCACGTGTGAAATGGTGAGTGACAACAGGGGGGCCTGAATGGCTGACGCTATGGATAGAATTGTGTCCCCACAAAATTCCGATGGTGAGGCCCCAGCCCTCAATGTGAATGTATTTGAAGACGGGGCCTTTGTAGGGTAATTTGGGTTAAACGAAGTCATAGGTGGGGCCCTGCTATGTTAGGATTAGTTCCTCAGAAGGGACACCAGAGCTCACTCTCTCTTTCTCCCTCCTCCCCTTTCCGTGCCTGCACAAAGAGGAGGCCAGGTGAGCACACTGCTCACATGCCAGGAAGAGAAGCCTCACCAGAAACTGGCCACGCAGACACCCTGATCTCAGCCTTCCAGCCTCAGAACTCTGGAAAACAAAGGTCTGTTACGGAAGCTCCCCACGGTGTACTTGTCAGGAAAACCCATGTCCAGCACGGCTGAGGACCCAGGCACGGCTTGCAGAGAGCTGTAAAGGACCCTGCAAAGAGGGACTCCAGCATGGAGCAGGCCCAGTTCCAGGAAGGGCTACCCCCACCCCCAGCACCCAAGACCCTCAGGGTGCCCTGCCGCCCTGCCTCAGCACGGGGCCTCACTTCCTGGGGGATTTGTCCCCGCTTCCTGGGGCCCAACTGGATTTCTGCACTGACCTTCACCTCCTCCCGGCAGGCCGGGACGAACCTCTGAGTGACAACGTCGCCCAGTGCAATTACCGTGCATCAGATGAGCTGGTCCCTTACAAATCACCTCGGACTTTACACATCTGCTGGCTGTCGGCATCTGCCAGGAGCGCTCACCCGAAAATAATGAAAACCCTCGCATTATTGTTCCATAGCAGGTAAAGTGTTAGGACAATTATTGTACATCCTGAGTGACCTTGGGACAGCTCAGCAGCCTGCCCTCTCCAGCTCGTCCAAGTCCTGG